TTCCCTCTTTTGAGTCTGTCTTAGTCTGGAAGCTCCGCTGAAACCTGTCCACCAGGGGTAACCCTGCTGACATTTACAACATTGGTGGCACAGTCTTCAGCATCACAGCAACACACAAGCTACCACAGTACAACAAACTGACAGACAAGTTTGTCTCTCTTAGCTGTTCCAAACTGCTCTGCTCACTTCCTGGTCTCCCCCAGCCACTTCAAAACCTGCTGGTCCCGTGCACCCAGCTTGCTCACCTGGCCTGCCCTGGGTGCTCCAAACACCCGCCTGCCCTGCACGCCCAGCTCACTTACCCGGCCTGCCCCAGGCATTCCAAACACTGCCTTCCCTATGCACCTGGCTCACTTACCTGTCCTGCCCTGGGCATTCTAAACACTGTGGTATAATAGATATATAAACCAATGGAATAGAACTTAGATTCTAGAAATAAATCCACATACTTAAAGTCAATTAATTTTTGACAGAGATGCTAAGTCCATCCAATGGGGAAAGAATAGTTTCTTTAATAAGTGTTGCTAGGAAAAATGGATTTCCACAAACAAAAAATAAACCTGGACCCATACCTCAGACCATGTTTGAAAACTAACCCAAAATGGATCTGAGACCTAAATGTTAGAACAAAAAGGCATCAAACTTTTACAAGAAAACAGGGATAATGCTTTGAGACCTGGCTGTTAACAATGGCTTCTTAGCTGTCGTGCCGAAGGCACAAGCAACAAAAGACAAATAGATAAAGGGGACTTTGTCAACATGAAAACTTGTGGTCATCAAAGGACTTTGTCAGCAAAGCACAAATGAGTCAAAGGGCCTCTGTGTCATGAGCCCAGGCTGTTTACTTCTTCACAGCAACCAGAGGCCCATCAGCCCAAAGGGCCCACCACGATGCAAACTCAAAGTTGCACATAATTGATTGTTCTAAGAACACCCAAACAAGGAGATTACTTTACTAGCCACGTAGGACCTGTGTGCTTTACAAACTCCACAGAACTTCCCCCAACATCTGGCAAGGACCTCAGAGGCTGCTGCCTTTGCAGCTCTCAGACCCAGAGAGTCCACATGTTGGTGAGAGGCAATCACCTAGGAATGGAAACTCCCCCACTGCCTACTCCTCTTCCTCAGGTTTTTCATGCCCTTGGCCCCTTTTAGCTGCTCCCTGCACTACTTTTCTCTGGCAGACCTCTTGCCATGGGGACTACCCCCTGCATGTGGTACTGGCCCCATAAATAGCTTCTTGTACAATGCTATCTCCTTATCTATGGTCATATCTCTTTTTTCTTGATCAGCCCCAAGTTCCCTTGAACTCAATATTCCATTTATCTAAGAAGGACTGAATAGCTAGAATATAAAAAGGAACTCCTACAACTTAACAACAGAAAGACAAAAAATCCAGTCAAAGCTGAAAGAGATCACAACAGGAGGTGCCAGATAGAGTGGGAAAAATTGTTGAACAAAACACAAAAGTAATTAAAAGACCAAGCTTACTAGTCTGATAGAGACTGGTGGAACCCATGAGACTATGACCCTTAGACACCCTTCAGGCCTGGAAATAAACTCACCTCCATGGCTCAACTTTCAGCCAAATGATAGATAGGCCAATAGGGTGAACAATCACCAGTAGGGATACATACTCCTTAGAACAATCAGCCATACGAGATCAAAAGGGCAAGATTTGCCTGGGGATAAAGCTCAAATTATATGAAGAAGAATGTGACATCAGGATTGGAGGAAGACTCATTAACAACCTGCAATATGTAGATGACACAACTTTGCTTGCTGAAAGTGAGGATGACTTGAAGCACTTATTGATGAAGATTAAAGACTACAGACTGCAGTATGGATTACACCTAAATAGAAAGAAAACAAAAATCCTCACAACTGGACCTATAGGCAGTGTCACAGTAGATAGAGAAAAGATTGAAATTGTCAAGGATTTCATATTACTTGGCTCTATAATCAACACAAATGGAAGCAGTAGTCAAGACATCAGACGACATATTGTGTTGGGCAAATGTGCTGCAAAAGATCTCTTTCAAGTGGTGAAGAGCAAAGATGTCTCCTTGAAAACTAAGGTGTGCCTAACCCAAGCCATGGTATTTTCAATTGCCTCTTATACGTGTGAGAGCTGGACAATGAATAAGGAAGACCAAAGAAGAGTTGATGCTTTTGAGTTGTGATGGAGAAGAATGCTAAGAGTACTGTGGTCTGCTAAAAGGACTAACAAATCTTTCCCAGAGGAAGTGCAGCCGGAATGTTCCTTGGAAGCGAGAATGGTCACACTTTGTCTTACCTACTTTGGTCATGTTGTGAGAAGGAACCATTTCCTGGAGAAGGATATCATGCTTGATAAAGTGGAGACTCAACGAAGAAGGGGAAGGCCCTCAGTGACATGGACAGACACAGTGGCTGCAGTGGTGGGCTCAGGTATAGCCTGATCGTGAGGCTGGCAAAGGATCGGGCAGTGTTTCATTCTGTTGTGCAGAGGGTCGCTATGAGTCGGAGATGACTCAATGGCACCTAACAACAACACACAGAGCTCAAAAGGCAGGAAGGAATAGGAAAGAAGAACAAAAGGAAATGGTACCACAGGGAGGAAGCGGGAAGAGTGTTGTTACATTGTGGGGATTGCAATCAATGACACAAAACAAACTGTATGAACTGCTGAATGGAAAATCAACTTGCTCTATAAGCTTTCACCCAAATCACAATAAAAAGTTAAAACAAAAATAGGCAAAGGCCTTGAATAGGCACTTCAGCAAAAAAGACAAACCAATGGCCAACAAGAACACAAAGGAGCTCAAAGCAGTCAGTCACGAGGGAAAAGCAAAGCAAGGCCATAATGATGTACCACATCACCCACTAGGAGAGCAACGATCAAAAGTGCGCTGACGGTGGGACTGTAAAATGATACACCACTGTGGGGATGACATGGGGCTTCCCTGAAAATCTGGAAACAGAAACACCATTTCACCCAGCAATCCCATTACTAGGTATGTACCCTAAAGAAATGAGAGCCAGGACATAAATAGGTACACGCATGCCCGTGCTCATCACAGCACTATTCATAGTAACAAAGAGATGCAAACAACCTAGGTGCCCATCAAAGACGGAATGGATAAACACACTCTGGTACATACACACAATGGAATACTATGCAACACTATAGAATAATGTAGAATCTGCAACACACCTCATAACATGGATAAACTTGGAGGTCATTATGCTGAGTGAAGTACATCAATCACTAAAAAAAAAAAAAAACAAACCCCACCAAACTTACTCCCATCAAGTCAATTCCAACTCATGGGGACCCCTCCTTAGATGTGGTATCTCTAGGGAAATAGATTGCCCAGTCTTTCCTTCCAAGGCGTGGCTTCTGGGTTTGAACCGCCAGCCTTCTGGTTAGCAGTCAAATGCCTTAAGCACTACACCACCAGAGCTCCTACAGGACAAATAGTGTATAAATATGCCATCGTAATAAGTCAAGGAAAGGTTTACACATGGAAAGAAACTTTTTTTTGCTGGTTACCAAGGATGAGAGAGGAGGAGAAGGAAAACTGCTAGACAGGTAAGATAAGTACTGAAAACAATAATAAAAAAAAATGAAGTGTTCTCTTTTGCTAGAGAAGCTCAACATGTGAAATATATGCAGTTAAGTCTTTGGGTTTACGGTCTCCACTAGAAGAAAATTTCATTTGGTGAGTTTCTATTGAGAAGTGTTCAACCTAATGGACGTAAATTTCTCAAACACAGAGGAATACTTATCTTAAGTGATGTAAAAATGACTCTAAAGCTTACTTAAGTCTTGAGAAGGTTCTTAACAACTCCTACTACACCAAACAGGTTGTGCGAGAATCCTGAGTGTTTTGAATATGCAGCCATTTTTGAAACACTCTTTGGCTGAGATGAAATGGATGTGCAGCCTGTGACAGACCTGGCTGCTGGGTCTACAGAAAGCTCTCACTTACACTTTATGAGTTGCATACGTGTATTAGGCTGTTTAGTAACAGTTGGGTCCTAAATGATTAAATTATAAATCATTTTATTACGAATATGAAATTCTAGTAAAAACACTTAATATCTCATTGGATTTATATCATGTATGAAAGTGAGAAAAGAAAAAAAAAAGGAAAACCACAGGTGCTGGCTGGAATACGGAGAACTGTAGATGGTGCAGCAGCTATGGAAAGAGTTTGGCAGTTGCTCAAAAAGTTAAACACAGAATTATCAAGTCACTCAGCAATTCTGCTCCTAGGATCTGCCCGAAAGAACTGAAAACAGGAACCAAACAGACGCTTGTCCCCTAGTGTTCCCCCTGCACTGTCACAGCAGCCAAGAGTGGCCACAATGTAAATGTGCATCAACAGATGAATGGATAAACCAAGTGTACGTATATGCAATGGAATATTACACAGCCATAAACAGAAATGGGGAGCTCTCGTAGCATACTGCCTAAGGCACTTGACTACTAATCAGAAGGCTGGCGTTTCAAACCCACCAGCCACTCTTCAGAATGAAGGTTGGGCAATCTACTTCCGTAGTGATTCCGCCTTGGCAACCCAAGGATGGGTAGCTAGGAATGTGGTCCAACTCAACAGCACGTAACAACAACAAACAGAAACGAACTCCTGCTACATGTCACAACCTGGATGGACCTTGAAAACATGCTGAGTGAAGTAAGTCAATAACACAACGAAAACACTGTATGATCCCACTTATGCGAAATGTCTAGAAGAGGCAAATGCATAGAAACAGGACTAGATCAGCGGTTACCAGGGAAAGGGGAGGCCACTGCTTAGGGGCAGTGAGCTTCGGCTGCGGGGGATGGAGAATGCAGCACAGGTAGGAGTGACGGCTGCAAAGCCTGAGGGACGTGAACAATGTCACCAAACTGTACATGTCAAAAATACTGAAATAGCCAAAGGTTTGTTACATATGTTTACTACGATAAAACTATTTTAAAGAATTAATAATAGTAACAGAGTTATACTTGCCTGGTCCAGCAATGGCTGCTAACAAGTCCAAAAGCAAGTGCACCTGTCTTGGCGACAGGAATAGGTGAATCGAGTGTATCTGTCCATCAACATCCAACTTCAAAAACAAAACAAAACAAAACACACTATTCAGGACAAATATTCTTTATCCCTTTGGCACACTATAAATTCCAGCATATTTTCACATACTGAGATTAATACAGATTCGTTAATGCCAGACTCCTTCACCTGGGATTCTCACAGTCTGGTGAAGAGTGAAACTATTTTTAAGAAGGAAATCCACTATGGCGAGTCCAAGGCCATTCTTTCTCTCCTGAGTACTTGGTGAGGCCTTAAGACAGTCCTCAAGGAAGTGCACTGAAGCAATGGTGGTGGAAGATTAATTGGCAGAAGATTCACATCATAACCTTAAAGCTTGGTTTAAACCCAGGGCAACTCAAGCTGGCATTCCATATTTGTCCATGGGTCACACACTCTGACAGCAGAAGACCTTCTCCATCAACAACCTCTCCAACTCCTGTGTGTCCCATTAAGTCCACTCTTGGCTGAGCACAGCTGGAAGCCACAGCAGACAGACAGACAGACAGAAGAGGGTGCTGAAGTATAGTCCCCGCCTTGCCTCTCACATAGAAGCGCCATCCCTCTCCAGCTCCCTTGGTGTTCCCTCTGCCCCACCCTTCAACGTGGCATTGCTTGTCTTGTTTTCTGTTCACCTGCTCTGAGTTCCAATATGCTAACATTGACTCTGTTATCTTCATGTCATTTTGAAATTTAAAAATAACTCAATTAATAAAACACATTTATATTGGAAAATGGTTTCCTCCCTAGAGGAAAAACAAATTCCTTCCATTCTGAAAGCAAAGAATAAAATAAACTACATCAGGACTTTGAGCTATTTCGTTGACATAAGTAAGAACACAATGCGTCCGCTGCCGCCACCACCGATAACCCTACCACCCTCTGGGACTGGGGGCTCTGCTAGGCTCCTCATGCTTACGTCTCCAATTCTTCACAGCATTCCCGTTCCATAAAAGAGGAAACAGTTGGTAAAGACTAAGTGATCTGTGCGCAGCCACGATCGAAGCTGGCGTCTGAACCCAGGCAGGCCCAGCCAGGAGGCCCTCACCCCCCCTCTGGCCTTGCTCCTCTGTTCTGTGGACAGGCCACTTGGGGAGGGGGCTACCGCCAACTGCTGACATCCCAGGCCACTAAATCAAGGCTGGGGCCAGTGAGAAAACATGTTTCTGATTCCAGGCCATATTTAGAAGTTGTCTCACTTTCCTGTAATGGAAGCACAGTGTCTGCCCTTCTTCAGACTGGACGATCAAGAGTGAACTTTCTAATTTTCATTGAATGTGTCACAGAAGCACGTTCTGAGTCAGGCATTCAAAGAACAAAGTATGTAATACTTTCTTTTGGAAATATAAAGAAAACGTTGTTGTCAGGTGCCGTCGAGTCAGCTCCAACTCACGGCGACCCTGTGTGCAACAGAACGAAACACTGCTCAGGCCCGCATCAACTTCACCATAGCAGCTGAAATACACTGCAGACTCAATATAACAGAGCTGAGACAATCATCTCTAAAGACAGCAGAGGAAGCCTGTTCATACATGATGCGTTCCTGAAAGTATACTAAAGGTGAGTACAGGACAGCTGGACCAACACAAAGGTAACGTTATTTTAGAGAACTGAAAAGCTCCTTATATACTGGAAGCAGCTACACAGCTGCTCACAGTAGATTCCACCATGGAGTTGATTACCAGTCTCATCATGGGGAATAACTATATTCAGTGTCCAGCCACTCAACCAGGCCCAGCCAAGCTGACACACAACCTTAACTACTACACAGGCCCAGCCAAGCTGACACACAACGTTAACTACCACTATTCCTAAGAAACAACTACAATTGTCTTTATGTTTATAGAGTATATTCAACAAGCTCTGGGAGGGCAGGAAAACTAGATGAATGTAAATGGAACAAACAAAATGGAAAGACTGAGAAATCACATGCATTGGGAAGAATGTAACCAATGTCACAGGACAATCTGTGTGGAAACCAGAATGGAAACTGAACTACTGCGTAAACCTCCAGTGACAACACGGTATTACTTAAAATAGAAAATAAAAAAGATATAGGACATGATACAAAAAAATCACTTTCTTTTCATACATGTTATGTTGTTGTTGTTGTTATATGCCATCGAGTCAGACCCGACTCATAGCGACCCCTCCTTGGGTTTCCGAGGCAGTATCACTATGGAAGTAGATTGCCTCATTTTCCTTCTGAGGATTGGCGGGTGGGTTTGAACTGCCAGGCTTCTGGTTAGCAGTCAAGTGCCTTAGGCACTACACTATTACATTCCATTCAAAATACATAGGCAAATACATCAACATTTATATAGTTAAACATCTCCTGTCAACTTCCTGCTTTCAGAATTCCCCTTTAAACTTTCTAGTTTTAAGACATTAGAAAGAGATTACTTAGTGAATTCCTAGTTATCTGCACTATTGGAGTCCTGGCTAATACAAAGTGGGTCCTCTTGTTTTAGAACTGCAGGAGTGGAGGGGAGGGATGAAGGGCGCTGGGTGGCTGAGACCTGAGCGGCAGCAGCCTGGCAGAGGCAGGCCCCACATGAACTATGGGACCACAGGTGCTCCCGTTATGGAACACTGCATGGTGATCAGTCAGTGGGTCACCGCACAGGATGAAGAACACTTGAACTTTTACCATAGAAAAGAAAACAGATACTGACCTTCGCTCCAGGAAGTACTTCATTCTGTTTAAATGTGAGACTCAACTCCAACCTGCCAATGAACACTCCAATCTGCACTGGGTCAGATGGTGCTACCTCTGGTAAATTTCTAGTTAGCTGGGGGTGAGGTTCATAAACAATTTTGGGGTTCCAGCTAGGGGAGAGCTTCGGCTCAGTCTCCTAAAAAAATGCAACAAGAATAAATTAATTATTTAAAATACCATAATGTAAATACATCTACCTGCAAAATATCAATCGCAACTTCAGAAGAATAAAACATAAGACACATAAAACTGAATGATATTACAATGGAGAAGCAGCATCTGATTACTGGCATGAAGCACAGTAGTGCATCAGTCGAGCACGCTGAAGCTCGGGAGTGTGACAATAGCACGGTGAAGCTCGGGGGTGTGGCTGCAGCACGCTGAAGCTTGGAGGGGTGTGACTACAACATGCTGAAGCTGGGGGGGGTGCCTACAGCACACTGAAGCTCAGAAGTGTGTTATTACAGCATGCTGAAGCTCAGGAGTGTATGAGTACAGCACACTGAAGCTCGGGATTGTGTGGCTGTAGCAAGCTGAAGCTCAGAGTGTATAACTACAGCACGCTGAAGCTCGGGAGTGTGTGACTACAGCACACTGAAGCTCAGGGAGGCGATGACAGCATGCTGAAGCTCGAGGGGAGTGACAACAGCGTGATGAAGCTCAGGAGTGAGACTGCAGCATGCTGAAGCTTGGAAGTGTGACAATAACATGTTAAAGCTCGGAGTGTGACTAAAGCACACTGAAGCTCAGTGGGGTGTAACTACAGCATGCTGAAGCTTGGAAGTGTGACAATAACATGTTAAAGCTTGGGAATGTGACTACAGCACACTGAAGCTCAGTGAGGTGTTACTACAGCATGCTGAAGCTAGGGGAGGGTGACTACAGCACGTTGAAGCTCAGGGAGGCATGCCTACAACATGCTGAAGCTTGGGGGGTGCATGGCTGCAGCATGCTAAAGCTTGGGGGGGTGAGATTACAGCATGCTGAAGCTTTGGGGGTATGACTACAGCATGCTGACACTTGGGGGGTGTGTAACGACAGCACACTGAAGCTCAGGTGGGTGACTACAGCACGCTGAAGCTTGGGGAGGTGTGGCTATAGCACACTGACACTCAGGGTGTGTGTGACGACAGCATGCTGAAGCTCAGGGGGGTGACTACAGCACGCTGAAGCTCGGGAGTGTGTGGCTGCAGCACGCTGAAGCTCAGGGGAGGGTAACAACAGCACGCTGACACTCGGGGGTGTGACCACAGCACGCTGAAGCTCAGGAGTGTGACGACATATTGTAATGAAGATGAATCATGACAAAGGACAATATTTTTTGAAGTTACAGCAATAAGAAAACTTAATAGAGTTTCCATAATGAAGAATGCCTCATCTGTGGAATAACTGAAAAGGTAAATTAGGGAATAACAAATTAACAACAAGAAGCTATGTTCTGGGAAAAGATCAGTACATAGGGCCTTACTTAGAGCTGTGAAAGATGATTTGTGAGCTCCAACCTCAACAATACATTAACTTTACATCACATGTTATGTGTAGGTACGTGCATGTGGCCTGACTTCTTGTGAAAGAATATCAGATGTTATCATATGACTTTCCCTCAAGACAGTCTCCAAGGTTTCCCCATCAAATTACTACATAGCAAACGGGCAGCAAAGGCATTGACTATTGATATAAGTGTTTTAAAATCTCTAAAATGTATCCTAATCACTGATCATGGGTTTGAACTCCCAAGCCAGAGGGAGACTCAGCTGCTACATCCCAGCAGAAGGTCATCACCCTGGTATAAAGCTAAGAATCTGTGACGTTGTGGTTGGGGCTTTGCATCTGTGCGTGGTCCTTACCCCTGGTGCAGTTGGACACACTGGGGAAGACTTTGCTGATGCAGAAAATTCGTCCCAGAAGAGTGATACTCCGGAGAGCTGGAGTAACTTGTGGGCAAAGGCAGTGGGCTGGTGGACATTGACCCCTGAGAGTTCATCAGCGGCCTCATCACAGTAAACAGTTCTGAAAGTCAAAAACACATACGGCAAGCAATGAACTGAAACTCCTAGGAAAACCCATCTGCAATGATGAAAAATACAGGTGGCATTTTTTTTTCTAAATTGTTATTGTGATTTGGGTGAAAGTTTACAGAGCACCTATATGGAAGTTTCATCTTCCATACAGCAGTTCACATACTTTGTCACCTGACATTGACTGCAATATCCCACAATGCAACAGCACCCCTCCTGCATCCTCCCCGTAGTTAGCTCTTCCCTGTGTCCTTCCCTCCTATGCACTCCTGCCCCCTGAGCTGTCTCCCTGGGCATACACAGCCCTTCTGTTTTTCCATGATTGATCTCCCCAAGGAGTGTATCTACTTAATGTAAATGTTCAGCTCATGTATCTGTCTTTTGTTTGACTGGAAGCCACAGGAGTAGGTTCAATTCCAGACCCAAAGGGCAGCTAGGGCCCATAGTCTCAGGGGTTCTACCCGGCTCTATCAGACCAGCAAACCTTTTTTTTTAAATGACTTTGAGTTTTGGTCGACATTGTTCCCCCACTCTATCCAGAATCTCCTACATAGATCCACCTCTGAGTGGCTGACAGTGGTAGCCGGACACCATCTAGTTCTTCTGGTTTCATAGTTGTATAGGCTGAGGATCGCATGGTGTACCAGTTGCTTGGACTAATTATTTCCATGCATCTTTGGCTTTCTTCATTCTTCTTTGCTCTGGACGAGGAGAGACCCATCACTGCATCTAGATGGCCACTTGCAAGCTTTTAAGATTCCATTCACTACTCACCAAAGTAGGATATGGAGCAATGCTTTTGTATAGTATATTATGCCAGTTGCTTGATGTCCCCTACAACCATGGTCCCAAGCCCACAGGTCCAACTCACTCCCAACTAGCTGACTGTGGCCAAGAAGTGACTGCAACCTTGCCCCTTGTCAGCTCTACTATATACCAGGGAATTCTCACAGAACATACATACACATACACTTGCAGAAACATCGTCTGCCAACACTACACAGGGTCATGGGCACTGCAGGTAGCGTTTGAAATTACAGAAGTTTTCAGTGTTGGCATGACCAGAGCGTGTCCAGAATGTGGGCCACCATCAGCACTGCTTCAGTACAGGAAATGGTCTCATGAGCAAACCCTAACACCACCTCCCCCACCAAAAACTACAACTTGACTTGACTTGAGGCTTTTCAGTTTGGAGATAAATGAGTAACTTCCTAGAGTACACTGCAAGAGGGACAACTCCTAGGCTCCCTCCCAGAGCACCTCTTGCTCACGGTGAGACAGCAGAGGGTGCCAAGTCTCCAGTTGGGCATGCACGAAATTTCCCAAATTCTTATGTCTGACTGTTCTCCATCTTCAGCAATATACAGAACACGGTTCTAGCTGCATGGGATTGAGATAGTTTTATAAAGCATTTAGGGTAATTTCAAAGGTCTGTCAACAATAACGGTTGCACAAATCAGGTTTTATTTCAAAAGACAGGAAGAATTTATGTTTCAAAACTCATCTGCTTAGCATTTGGGAAAGGTCCCGAGCACATACACACACACAGCATCTGGGGCCAGTGTGCAGATTTCACCCTGCTAATTTCTGTAGATGACCCCAGACCGTACAGGCCCAGGGAAACAGTCACTACTTTGAATCCACACTCGTGTGTGTGCCAACCAATCTGCTTTGGAGAGGCTAACGGGTGCACACGCAGAACACGGCAACCAAAGCGTGTCTTTTTAAGCAAATCACATGCTGCACATACTGCCCTTAAACCACCCTCACAAAATCCTCAAACAGAGCAATGGCCTTAGGGTTTCTCACTGGAGCATGGCCCAGCCGGTGCGCAGCCAAGCAGACAGCCCGCAAGCAGCAGCCACGATGCTTACTGTTTTGACTGGATATTGACCCACAAAGCCTCGCCTGCTGTGAATAGAGCCCCAGCTGGCACTTCCCGTTTCACTAACGGGACTGGAAGCTAGGTAGGCTTTATTCTGAACAGATGCCCCATATAGATGTAGCATCACCTCTAATCTCCAGAACCACCGGGAACGCTCATGGAACAGCTGGATCTTAGTATTTCCAACAGAAACTAACAGACGTATCTTGGCTCGGGCCACCACCTCACCTCTCTATCCAGACCTCAACAGACCATCTCGGCTCAGGTTGATGTCTTACCTCTCTATCCGGACTTCAAGTGCGGTGCCTGTTGTGGCGTTTTCCGGTATGTGCTCAATCCTCAAAACAGTGTCTATAAAAGTGACCTTCACTCTTCTTAGTACTAGAGCAAAGAGGTAACAGTCAACATACAGACCATACACACATCAGATAAAAACTTCTAATGCAAGGAATAAACACTAAATCAGTTTGATAAAAACTTAGAAAAACAGAGAGCGGAACTTCTTTTGTCTAAAATCCCCCAGTCCTTAGTTAATAAATAACCTGCCTTACTGTGCACTTCCCTCACGTTACATCTCAACAGACACAGGGGCACACAGCGCTATCTGTGAATACGCATCCCGTCATGAGGCAGGAATCATAAAATTAACAAAGAAGAGAAACAAGGGCACAAAAAACAAAACGCACAATCAGACTGAACACAATACTTAAATTAACCTTGATTCTAAGGTTCTGAAGTGAAAACAGCAATGCTTTTCCAAATCATGCCAACAGGTCGGCCTGATTCAAGGTGTCCTCAAGAAAGGTACCAGGGAACCAAGTTTTTGAAGATGCTCAATAATACCAAACCTGTTTCAATGGTTTCAGCAAACTTTTCAAGTCCTTCAAAAGGCTGGGTTCCTTCTCCTTGCTCATCTGTCAGTTTCTGGTTAAGACATTCTTTTGCCAATTGCATACTGCTGGTCATGAAACTTGACCAGCACATAGGCTCGGAACCAGTCGCTGCAGAAAACAGAGAGATTGACCCTAGATAATTGTTCAGTTACAAGAAAGACATAAACTCTTAATCCCTCAGTCATATTTTCAACATCCTGGTATTGGTGAAGGATAAAATATTCCAGAAATTACTTTGGGTATCTAAACGTCATCTTATAATAACTGAGGGAAAACAAAACAAAAAACTAGATCATAGGAAAAAAACTTCCCTGCTCTCATAATGTATGACACTTTTGCCAAATATTAATTCATGTATTGATTCAGCCAACACTGAACAGGCTCTTCCACGTTCAGGGTATTGGTGTAAACACTGGAGGGCAGGGGTTAGCAAACATCTTCTGTTAAGGGTGAGACAGTAAATATTTCAGGACTTGTAGGCCATGTGGTCTCTATTGCAACTATTCAGGTCTGTCACTGTAATACAAAACAGCCATACACAAATTACAAGTCAAGTACAAAAACGGGTCATGGACTATACTTGTCTAAAATCCCCCAAACCCACTGCTGTCGAGTGAATTTCAACTCACAGGGACCTGAAAGGACAGAGTAGAACCGCCCCACAGTGTTTCCAAGGCTGTAAATCTTTATGAAAGGAGACTGCCTCATCTTTCCCCCATGGAGCAGCTGGTAGGTTCGAACGACCAACCTTTCAGTTAGCTGCTGAGCACTTTAACCACTGCTGCGCTAGAGCACCCTGACCCTTCTATAGGGCATAGAAAAATCAGTGAAATAAGAATTTTGCCCATAGGACCAGGTTTGCTGGTCTGATAGAGCCTGGTGGAACCACTGAGACTATGGCCCCTAGCTGCCCTTCAAGTCTGGAATTGAACCCACACCTGTGGTTTCTAGGCAAACAAAATACAGGCATGTGAGTTAAACATTTACCTCAAGTAGATATACGCCTTGGAGAGAACAATCATGGGAGAAGGAAGGGCTGCTTATGCACAGGGAGACAGCTCAGGGGGCAGGAGTGTATGGAGGGATGGACACTGGGAAGAGGTAACTATGGGGAGGAAGTGGGAGGGGAGCTGTTGCATTGTGGTAAACTGTGGTCAATGACATGAGAGAAAGTATATGTGAACTGCTGTATGGAAAATGAATTTGCTCTGTAAATCTTCACCCAAATCACAATTAAAAAAAAAAAAGGAAAAAAAAAAAAAAAGAATTTTGCCCATAAAGCGCCTATAATCACATGGAGAAGTAAGGTATGAGTAAGATGAAGTACAAGGATGACATGGACTGACCATGATTTGGAATCGATCCGTATATTGGTAGTGATACTGCCTCAGAAAACCCAAGGAGGGGTCGCTATGAGTTGGGCCCGACTCAATGGCACATAGTAACAACAACAACAACATCACAGTTGAAAGATAGAATATTCTTCTTAATTTAATTCCAGATCATTAACAGGGATTTCCACGCACAGATTCCCGACTTCCAAAATACAGGTCACTGTAAGTCTATATAACTTTTAATTTTGGGGTTTCAGTAGCAGTTGGAATAATTATTCAAATATATCTTTATAAATATCACTTGTCATTGGAAAAAAGAATTTAAGTTCACAATGTAAAATGATTTACCATCATAACTTTGCTGGTTCAAAACGTACACGCACAGAGAGAAGAAAATCTGAGAGGCAGTGTAGATAGCATTGTGGTTAAGAATACAGACTCTAACACGAGACGGTGTGGGCTAAGTTCCCATCTTTTCCACTTACCAAGCAAGGGCTTTGGGCAAGTTATTAAACCTACCTATGCTTCAGTTTCCTATGGAAACTGGAAAATGTGGATAGAAAATATCTACTTCAGAGAGTTACTGTGAGGGTTAAATGAGATAATACTTGTCAAGCACTTAGAACAGTGCCTAGCATGCAACAAGCACTTTCTACATCTTTAAGAAACAAATCAGAAAACATCATATATGTGATTAAAGCTACTGCATACATACACTTGTGAACAATGACTCACTACTACCTTAAAGCTTTTGAAATGTTCAGTCCCACAGAAGAGGTGAAAGACTAGTTCAATGAATACCATGTGCCCTTCATCTCAAGTCACCAAGATTCTACACACACACACACACACACACACACTCTTGCTGAACCAGCTGAGGTGCACTGTAGACATCATGACACTCACCCAGAAATGTTCCAGCAAGTCACTCCTACAAACAAGAACATCCTCCTGCTTACTCCGTCCCATTATCACACCCAAGAAACTTAACTCTGACACTGTGACTTTATGCTACGTACGTTCCATTCTCACATCCCTAGCTGCCTGACAGTGCCCTCTGTAGTGTATGTGCACACACACACACATACATGCGTACATGCACATGCATGCATGCACACATACACACATGTGCGTGTACACATGCACACACACACACACACAGGGTCATGTACGGCCTTCAGCATTCATCTCAGCCTCCATGGACCTGGACTCATGTGGTGGTGAAGTCTGTGTCAACTTGGCTGGGCCTGGTTGAGTGGCTGGGCAGCTGAAGGCAGTTATTCACCTTGGTGAGATGGGTAATTAACTCCATGGTGAAATCTATAGGAGCAGCTGAGTAGCTGCTTTGAGTATGTGGTCTGCTTCCTGTATATAAGAAGTAACTTTGGGAATGGTCTTTAGCTTACGGCACGCTTGAACCCTGCACGCAGCTGTGTCATTGTTCAGCGGCCTGCCATGCTCTGCCAATGCTAGGACTTTCAATGGACTTGAATTAATGGCCTGCCATGTGGTTTGGTAACATCAGGACTGTCCCATTTTATTTGTCGACCATGGGCTTGTTAGCCTCAGCAGCCAGTAGCTGTCTGACTGAAGAGATGCCTCTAGCTTCAGTGGGCTGGGAGCAAGAGGCAGAGCTGAAGCCCAAGGTCGAGGGGCTTTCACTCAGCCCCTAGAGCCTGGCACTTTGAACTCAGACTTCTAGCCTCCTAAACTGTAAGAGAATAAACTCCTGTTTGTTCAAGCCATCCCATTTCTGGTATATTCCTGTCAGAGTGGCACTAGGGAACCAGAACAACCCACTCCTCACCCTTTATCAGCATCTGTGACCCTGACCCTGCTTGGAGCACTAGCTGTGAATTTGCAGAATCTCCTGTAGTTTCCACTGGCTGACTGCTTTCTCATGATGTGACTCAGGTTTTGCACTTTCAGCAGGAAAAGTGCAGAGGTGGCGACTGGTCCTTCACAACACATCACATCAGCAGACACCCAAGGTCACTCTGCCCTCTATGGAGGTGAGTTTGATCCCTCGGTTCCAGGAGTGATGGCCACATTTCTCCATGGTTTTTCTCTTTGTGAACAGTGAGTGTGTGGGGAGGGGGCTCAGATGTGGTCTCAGATACCAAGCCCCTCCACAGTCTCTGAGCAAATGCTGCCAGCGTCCCCTAAGCGTGTGTGCCCGGGACACCTTCTGCCATGGTGGTGGAAGCATGGCCGGGGTCCTGCGTTCTATCACCCTCCTGCTTTCATAGGCAGGTCTACTGGCGCCCCCTTGCACACTCACTTATCTCTATCAGCATGAACGTATGCATTTTGTAATTTGATGTATTATGCTCTACTACTGTCATTGGTCTTTCTGATGCGCAGACTGTCCCAGATTCAGCACCCCTGGGCTCCTTTAACAAATCTCTACCCATATTCAAGCACTTCCTTACATTCTGTCACAACTGTTTGAATCTTAAAGACACAAGTCACTATTTAGACTTGTAACCAATCAGTAAGCAAACCAAATAATCTGTCTGCTTAGGTTCCCATGAGCAAACACGTATCAGCACACACACACTAGACAGGCCCAAGTCCAAATCCTAATATTTAATCAATTGAAAATCTCACAAGTACAATGCAATAAATCTAATCTGGAAGTTAATGCAACTGGATCCCTTTCTCAGTCTCAGAAGAATACAAATAGGAACAAATACAAAGAAACATCCAACACACCCACCTAGACGAGGTCGAGGTCGGAAGACCATCTCTAAGCCTTTCACTTCCAGGGCACAATTATCCTGCAGCAAGGAGCCCCACGGGACCGATAGAGAGATAGACTGGATGAATCCATCGGTGACTTCTAACGGAGCATCTGCTGACTCCAGGATATCATTCAGACACTGCAGAAAAAAAAACAAGGGCATCTGAAATCACACACCAACAGCACAAAACTCGTAATTTATGCAGATGTTGACCATGTCAGTATTGTGTCAGGCACCAGGGACACAGAAAGCAGAGGCCAAGCTACAAGTGATTTCCTGGTCCTTAGGAGCTCTGGTCGCATAGTGCCTAAAGCATTTGACTACTAATAAGGCTGGCAATTCAAATCTACCAGCCACTTCTCCAAAGGAAGACTGAGCAATCTACTTCCCTGGAGATACTGCCTCGGAAACCCAAGGAGGGGTCGCTATGAGTCAGGACCAACTCAACGGCACATAACAACAACAACAGCGAGCTCACAAGACAGTGCAGGAGGGCAGGAAAGACACAGCATCATGAAGGCGTGCCAAGCTATATGTACACCAAGCTCTTCAAGCCTCTCGAGACCCTAACCTGGACATCCAGGCAGGCTCCAAGGACAGTCCCTTTCCAGCTGAGATCAGAGGCTGAGCAGCAGTTAACAAGCCTGATGGTCTAGGCAGAGGCAACAACACATGGAAGGGCCTGAGCACAGAGCACAGGCTTAGGCAGCTGAGATGCATGACCATCAACCAGGGAAAGTTCCCAGGCCTTCAGGGTGGTGTGTGCAGTGGTCCGGACCAGCGATAAAGCTACACACACAAGGCAGCGTGGGATTCACCCAAAAACCAAACCCAAACCCACAGCCACCGAGTCAATTCCAACACATAATGACCTATGGGACAGAGGAGAACTGCCCCATGGGTTTCCAAGGCTGTCACCTTGTCAGAAGCAGACTGCCACATCTTTCTCCCATGGAGTAGCCAGTGGGTTTGAAGGGCAGATCTTTCAGTTAGCATTCCAGCGCTAACCAGTGCACCATCAGGGCGCCTACTTCATGTTAGGGAGTCTGAAATTTATCTCAAGGCAACATGAAGCCATTGAAGGATGTTAAGGAAGGAAGCTCCCATGAGGTTTAAACTTGGTGGAATGTCCCTGATGCCATAAAGAGCACGCAGTGGAGGGAAGCAAGCTCAAGACAGGGTCTCTGTCATGAAGAACTGAAGCTGGAGAAACTGGTTTGGATAAGAATAGCAGCACTGGGGAGAGTCAGAAGTGGATGGACATTTGCAACATATTTAGGAAGTAGAATTAACTGGCATCATGAGGTGTCAGGAAAAAGGAATGAAGAATGACAGCCAGGTTGCTAGCCTGCAAAGCTGTGAGGACAGCAGTGTTATTTGCTGAGGCAGGAAAACCGGGGGAAGCAGCTCAGGGGAAGATGAGAAGCTCAGTCCAAAGTGTGCACCTCAGGGGACATCCAGGTGGGGGTGTCCAGGGGCAGCTGGACGCTCTGGTCAAGAGCTCAGATGAGCCAACTGCCAAGACGTACAGATGGGCCTTAGAAAGAAGGCAACTGAAGCCACAAGTTGAAAGACACTGCCTTCGGAAACTTCCAGAGAGTGAGAAGGAAGGCTGACAAACATCGAACTTTAAGAAAGGGGGCTGAGAAAAAGGAGTCAGTGGAGGAACTACGAAAAAATCAGGCAGAGAGGAAAAAGGAAAATCAAGGGACCCATATGTTGTTGTTGAGTGCCGTCGAGTCAATTCCGACTCATAGCGACCCCGTGCACAGCAGAATGAAACACTGCCCGATCCCGCACCAGCCCCACGATCCCCGCTATACTCGAGCCCATCATCGCAGCCACTGTATCAATCCATCTCGTTGAAGGCCTCCCCCTCTTTCGTCGACCCTCCACCATACCAAGCATGACATCCTTCTCCAGGGAATGGTCCCTTCTTACAACATGAC